CTGGTGGGAGAAATGGGTGAAGGTGGTCAAAAGGTAGACACTTCCAGCTATAAAACAAATGTCATAGGAATGCAATGTACAGCATGGTGACTATAGTTAATAATACTATTTGTATGTTTGAAAGTTACTAAGAGAGCAGATCTTAAAAGTTCTCATCACAAGAAAAATAAGTTGTAACTCTGTATGGTGATGGATGTTAACTAGACTTCTGTGGTGAGCATTTCATAATATATACAAATATTGAATCATTATGTTGTACACCTGAAATTAACACAATGATGTATGCCAATTATATCTCAGTTAAAAAACCAAATAACAATTCCAGTATCTGCTGTAATGTTCAGGGCTTTATGAGAGTGAAGTCTCTACCTCCCTGTTTCTGGAAGATTAAGTAGATTGACAAAACCTCTGGAGAAAGATGAACCCCGGGTTTTCCTGGATGAACTTCCAAGTATTTTTTGTAATAATAAACTGGACTTTGCTAAAATTAAAAGCTTTTCTTCTGCATAAAACATTCTTAATAGAATTAAAATAATATTTGCGGGTTTCCCTGGTGGTGCAGTGGTTGAGAGTCCTCCTGCCGATGCAGGGGACACGGGTTTGTGCCCCGGTCCAGGAGGATCCCACATGCCGCAGAGCGGCTGGGCCCATGAGCCGTGGCCGCTGGGCCTGCGAGTCTGGAGCCTATGGTCTGCAACGGGAGAGGCCACAGCAGTGAGAGGCCCACGTACAGAATACATAAAGAACTCTCAGGGGACTTCCCTGGTGGTGCAGTGGTTAAGAATCCATCTGCCAATATAGGGGACACGGGTTTGAGCCCTGGTCTGGGAAGAACAAAGCCCGTGTGCCACAACTACTGAGCCCGCATGCCACAACTACTGAAGCCCATGTGCCTAGAGCCCATGCTCTGCAGCAAGAGAAGCCACCGCAATGAGAAGACTGCACACCACAATGAAGAGTAGGCCCTGCTCGCCGCAACTAGAGAAAGCCTGCACAGTAACGAAAACCCAATGCAGCCAGAAATAAATAAATAAATTTATTAAAAAAAAAAACAAAAAAGTCTCTCAAAACTCAACAATAAGAAACAATTTGATTTTTAAAAAATGGTCCAAAGATTTGAACAGACATTTCACCAAAGAAGATATTTGGATGACAAAGTATTTATTTTTTTTGGCTGCATGGCATGAGGGATATTAGTTCCCTGACCAGGGGCCAAACCTGCACCCCCTGCATTGGAAGCACAGCGTCTTAAGCACTGGACCACCAGGGAAGTCCCAGGATGGCCAAGTATTTTTAACTTTGGTGATTAGGCTGAGATGCAAGAGGTTTTTAACAGGCAAGCAAAGGTAACAGTCCAGTCAGAGCTCCATACGTTCTGGACCATGGCTGATGAATGAAAAATGTATCTGGAATCAAAATCCTTGGTGACCTATGAACAGAAGTACATCAATCTCCTTCCTTTGTTTGCTAAACAAACAAATATATCAATAAACCTCTTTTAAAAAATGTTGTTTGTAGTTTAACTGAATTTTATGCTTAGGAAAGATTTTTGGAGCCATCCAAGAGAAATTTCTTATTTTAAAGTCTAGAATTGATTTGCTTCTTGGTAACAGGGGTAGTAAAACCCAGATCCCCTGGTGAACAGACCACACAGCCACTGAGGTATAATTTCGTTGGTTTTACTAGCTGGATTGGGGGCAAATGGTATGTAGACAGATGGCAGTCATTGATTGAGGGAGGTCACTCATCCCTCTGGGAGCCTCTGGGCACATGGCAATTGATGACTCTGTCAACGGGTCCTTTAATCTCTGTGTATGTAGTTTAAGTGGCTAGGTGTGCTCCTTTTAGGACTGAGAATTTACTCAGCAGGCAGACTCTATTTAGTTCCATCCCTTCACATCAGTTCAACCTTCATTCATACAAGCGTGTTGGCTTGAGTCCAGAGTTTTCTCTCTTCCATCAAGATATGCAAGCAACCGGAGAGCTCCATCAATCTTGTGTGCCTTGGCACCACTGGTTTCATAAGCAGCTGGCCTACAATAAATATTCAGCTGCTTATGTTTTTGCATATCTAACATACGCCAGGCAGGTTCTTAAAATTTGGGTGTCACTGACCACATTAAGAATCTGAAGGAAGTTATGGTGTCTTTCCCCCCAGAAAAAATACCCAAATGATATACACACACAAATTTTTGTATCTGACTGAGGGGTGTTTATGGACTTCCGGTCTACCTCGGACATCTCTGGGGAGAGGAGCTGATTAGAGACATAGAACAGTGTTTTTGAGTAGAATGAAGGATCCAGCTCACATTATACACCACCGATTGGTAATGTCCCCAAGCTTTGGGGTGATATAGTTTTCCCTAGGTGCCCTCTCTTGCCTAGGTGGGATTGATTCAGAGGTGGGGATTGCCAAACTGGGGGCACAGTGGGAGACCATGTCTATGAGTGTGTGTGAATCAGGGCCACTACTGGGAATGTGTTTGAAATAAATGAGTAACCAGGTCTCGAGTAACCAGGAAGGGTAGAGAAGGAACTCAAGAAGGCATGGAAGGGCTGAAATACTGGGGAGGGAGAGAGGGGTTGCTGGTGGCTGGAGAATCTGTTTGGTTGTAATTGAGAGTAGGAAAGCAGTGGGCACAGGGTGGGATTTTAGTGCAGGATTGCATGAGTGCAGCACTTCTATGTGATGACAGGCTTCAGGGTGTGACCATGACAGTGGGTCACTCATTGGGTCTAAAACTCTCTGGTTTTAGAGGGAGAAAAGAAATCTCACTGAAGTTGAATTTTGCCTGGAAACATCTCCACTACTCTGAGGCCATTTCCTCTAATTTGCTTCCGGTCTCCTAATCCCAAATATGCATATGCCTGGGAGTCAGACTCACCATGGTTTAGAGCAATTTACTACTGGGACACCCTAGCCCAATGCCTCAACCTCTCCAGCTGCAGTCCTGTGGATGAACAAATGCCCAAAAATTATTTTTGCAGAAGCTTCCCTTGATTGTGCTAGCTTCCCTCCGAGCGTGGTTAACACCTAACTCAGCTGGGTATTCAGTGAGATAACATGGAGAGGGTGCGTGGCCCAGTGCCTTCGTTATAAACTGCTCAATAACTCAGGTTTCTTCCTACTCAACCCCTTTCCTGACCTACCCGTGGGGTTAAAAACTGTCCCTTGTGGCTTTTGATGTGCCTTTTTCATCTAACAGTTTTGTATTCACTTTCTTGTAGATTATACAAAGCAAAACCTATTGAACCAGGACACAGAGTTCCAAGGGAATTAAAAGATTATTATTTTACATTCACTTAGATTCTATGTTGAAAATCGACATTTCAAATAATAAATCAGCAACAAAACAAAACACAAAACCCCAACGGTAACAACAACAAAAACAAAACACTTCAATGAGATCGAAATGGTAAGGTGGAAACCACCAGATTTATTGGGCTTCGCTGCCCGATCTTTTTTAGTTGGCAGCCTTATTTCTTGCTTCAGGCCCAAGGAATTAAATGGATCAACGCGGGGTTTTGAATTCCAGCATTTGGAGCTCCTGGCTTTGGGAAGAGGAAGAGATTTCGGAAATCCAAGAGACAAAATATTGTTCTTACGATAAAATTCATATAGAGGTGGGAGTGGACACAGAAACTGTAACCTGTACGATGAGAATTCTCACACGGAGGGAACCCACCCAGCCCACTAACGCTCGGCCTTGCTCCCAAAGTAATAGAATCCGAGTCTCCAGGCCAGATTTTCCCTTTAGCCATTCCTGGCCACGCAAAGCGGAGCTGCGAGCACACAGAAAGGGATGTCTTCATCGCCAACCAGGATGGAACAAACCCGCCCGCTCGGGGAGTGCTGAGAACCAAAGGGTCCCTCCAACGCGGCAGCCGTCAGCATGACTTGACTGCCCCCATCCCGCGCGGTCCGCACTCTCCAGGCGCCCCCAGCCTTTCCGGGTGCGCGCGCAAGAGCCGGCAAGCCGGGGAGCTGTGCGTCCAGCAGCCTGCGGGCGGCGGTGGCCGACCGGCTGGCGGCGAGAGCGGTGGCCAGCAGCGGCGGAGGAGGAGCTGGCGCTGCAGCCGGTCCCCTCGGGCCGCGCCCCGCCCTCCGCCGCCACCTGCGCTTCCCCTCCGGGCTCTCGCGCCCCGGGGCAGTGTGGGCTCTCCTTGCCGCAGCGGCGGTATCACCGCGTCAGCCAATTAGAAGACTCGGCGTTTGGCTCCTTGGGGCGCGGGAAGAGCAGCGCTGCCTGTTCTGGCGAGTGGAGGGTGCGACGGCGCGCGTCCCTCCCTTCCGCGCTCCCCGCGACGTTCGTGGAGGGGGTTACAGAACTGCTGTGACTTTTGAGGTCCGACTACTCCTTCCGGCTAGCCTCCCGACGCGCCAGCTCGGAGAGAGGCCGGCGTGACCGGCAGGCCCAGAAGACTCGCTGCGTGGGCTCGGGACTTGGAACGTGTCTGGGAGCCCGCGGCGCTGTGCGCGCTGTTGAGTTTGGCGGCGGGGTGGGGTGTCCCCTGGCGCGAGGGGCGGAGAGGACGTTGCGCTCTGCCCCTTCGCCCGCCCCCTAGTGCTGCCCCCACTTTGAGAGTAATCGAGACTTGAGTGTGACTGCGGAGCCGCGAGGATGCGGGCCCTGGGCGCGGGTTTTTCCTCAGCTCGGCGCGATGGAGCGGGTCGGTGAGCGGAACAAAGGCGCCCGCCCCGGGGAGCCGGTCCTCGGCTGAAGACCGCGGGGCGCGCGCCACGACGGCCGCCTGCGGACTAGGGTGGTGGCTGTGCGGCCCGAGGCGCGGCGCGCTCCTCCGCGGGCGGGCGGCGAACCCTGAGCCCGGCACCTGCGCGCCGCTC